TAAATATTAATGTCTACTTTAGTCTAAAATCTTCGCCTCAATGGTGAGATTTGAATTCATAATTTTGTGAATTATGAATTAAATTCTTATCAAATGAAATAATTTTTGTTCATTGAATTGATTGGTGTATATTTAGTTTAAACATCATTTACTGTCCTTAAAACATAATTTTTTGTTAAAAAGAATAAAATTTCTCTTTTATATATATAAAGACAACTTTGTTACTCCTCTGATTCTTAATATAGAATCTAATTGTTGAATTGATTTTGGTCCTAAATATAAGACCTATTTATCACATTTATTAATTTTTCTAAATTATTCTTATTAATACTCCCTCAATCATAATTCAGTAGAATATAGAAGGAGAATATTAAGATCATTATAATATTTTAGGAAAAACTGTCACATTTCTTATAATTAACTAATTTACCTAACTTTTTTAGTTTAACTAAATTAGTTAAATAGATTTTATATTAAAAGCCGGAGGAGTAATTTTTTATAATAGTCTCCTCCTTTTCTTAATTTTTATTATTTCTTTCTTCCTTTTTGTTGGGCTGATGATGAGTTATTATTTTTGTTGGAAGTGTTTCAGCAATCACTATCCCATAAGGCGTTGGAGTGGGAAATGCGGCGTTGTGGATTATCTGGTGAATAAATGCCTGCGTCTTGTATCCCATTAAATATTAAAGGAAGTGATAGATCACTCTTTCTCTTTCAGTTTAGACGAAACAAATAAACCGTAGTTAGTTAGAAGAATTACTATGAGGTCCTAAAAAAATGTATATAATTATTAAAAAATTTCAATAATAAGTGAACGTATTGTTATTTTCCTAAAACTTGCGTTCTTGTTATGAAATTTTTTTAATAATTATATTTCTTTTTTAGATTTTATGGCAATTCCCCCTAATTAGTTAATGAACAGTTGCTGTCATATATTATAATAATAATTCGATCTTCTCTTACCAAAAAAAAATATCGCTCTTTTTTTCAGTTTAAACGAAATAAATAAATTGTAGTTAGTTAAAAGAATTATTGTGAAGTCCCAAAAACATATAATAATAATAATAACTCGCTTGCTCGATCCTTTTTATGAACCGTAACATCTTCATTTTGATTGCATGGCTTTGGGTGATGCTCATTAATTCAAAGTGCTACCATATCAGCAATAATATAAAATAATTTAAAAATTAAAGAAAAGAGAAACCAAAAATAATAAAATGAAATAAAAAATAAATTTTCATTCTTAATATAAGATCTGCTTAACTAATTTGAATAAATTAATAAAATTAGTTATTTGTGAAAAATACGTGTTAGTTTTTTCATAAAATACCTTTTTAAATCATTTGCATTGAAACTACCATATAATGTAAACTCCCTTAACATTTATAATAATATGGATAGTTTAAGAAAAAAGTGATAAATATGATAAACAAAATGAATTGAGATCTTATATTTAAGATTGAATTTAATTCTCAACTAACTTTTATATTATCTCTGATTCTTAATATAACACCTTATTTAACTTTTATTTTAGTCTTCAATATAAGATATCAATCTATTTTGTCATTCATATTCATCTTTTTTTTTTAAAGTAGTCCTTATAATAACGATAATTCTAACAGCAAAGATATTTTAGAAAAGACAACACCTATTTATTAAAAATAACTAACTTAACTGTTTTTTAATCTACTCAAATTAGTTAATTAATTCTTATATTAAAAATCTGAGATAATATTAAGCAAGGGGGTAATAATACGAGTGACCAAACATATCCAAACAACTTCAAAAGGCACAAAGGCAAAAATCTGTTGGGCTACATGATATCTCAAACTAGCCCATCGGCAAGAGGTTGGGCTTTAAAAGAGAGGCGCGGGTGTGGACGAAGATAAATTTTGTCCTTTTTTTTTAATAACTAAATTTGTTCTTTTTTCCTTTTCCTCTTTTGAATAAAAAGCGTGAGAAGACCAACAGGGGTTGGTCCAAATAGTAAACAGCTTGGTACCGCTTAAACGAGGTCTCGAGTTCGAGCCTCAATGTATGCAGAAATCTCTGTTGGGAGACTCACCCACCACAGCCAAGTGCATGACGTGAGTCGGATCCAAATGTAGTCAAAGCAAAGCTCCGGTGAACTGGGTGGGCAACCGAAAAAAAAAGCGTGAGAAGACACGCAATGATGACTACCTAACCAATGAAAGCCTTTAACTGAAGGTTTTAATAATTTCTAAAATGTTAGAACCACACAATTTCTGCCTAAGTAAATAAGTAGTATCGTATCATTTTTAATATAAGAATTAAATAATTAATTTACAGGTATAAAAATTTAGTTAAGTTAATTCTTTACAATAAATATGTATTGATTTCCTAAGTACCATATTCAATCATGTGTATTGAAACTACATTTTAATTGAGAGCCCCTCTTAATGTGTAATTAATAAGAACATTGAAAAAATTATAAATTTGGTAGGCAAAATGAATTGAAATCTTATACTACCTCCGACCCTTAATATAAAAAATAAATAACTAATTTAAGAATATTTAAAAAGTTAGTTAAGTTTGATAAAAAAAAAAAAGTTAGTTAAGTTAGTTATTTATAATAAATTAATATTATTTTTCTTAAAATATTTTTATTAATCATATGCATATTAGAACTACTACGTGAAGAAAACACCTTAACATGTGCTTTCACCATAGGAATTACATGAGGGCACAATTGATAAGGAAGAATTATTGTAAAGTTCCAAATAAGAAATATGATTACTAAAAATTTCTAATGACAATAGAGCTACTTACAATGACAAATTTCAGGATAACAAATGACAATTGCTCACTTGTTATTAAAATTTATTAGCAATTATTTTTTTCTATTAAGACTTCATTGTAATTCTCCTAATTGATGAGTATTACAAACAAATATTAGAGTTTTATATTTAAAGTCAAATTAAATATTTAACTAACTCTTATATTAAGAATCAGCTACTATTTAGCATAAAGTGTTCCTTGTATCCAAAACCTATATGTAAATTTTAATTTCCTAGTTTTATTTGTATATTTACAAGCTTACCCTTGAAAATTATAAATTGAAATTCAATTGAAAGGATATTTTTGTTCTTAACATTAAAAAAAAAATACTATATCTATTTTTAAAGTTATAAATTTTAGAAAAAAAATTCAATTTTTAGACTAGTATTTTAGGGGGGAAATTACAACAAATTTTTGACAAATCAAATATAAATAATTAAGTTAGTTAATTTTGATTATAATTAGGGCCGCGGTCTTATAGTGCAGATTGAAAGATATAACCCTTAAACTCAATGTGGATGGACACCTCTGCCATTCATGATGATCAGTTTATATAGCATATCATTAAAACAAATATTTAGCACAATATCAGAATACATGAAATAAATATCTTACTTTTTACTTATATATATATAGACACAATGTGTTTATTAAAAAGGTTATTGAGATTATTGATTCGATTATACACAGTGTATCTTATCCTCTTGTATTTTTCCCAGCCCTAGGATGCTAAAACGGCAGCATATTCCGTCGTTCAATTCTAAGCATTGATTTAATCTCATTCACAAATTTGTCATAAACAAAAGGGTTAAGGTGCACCTAGCACTCCCAAGTATTTTGCTAGGTGCACCCAGTGGCCTAAAGTAATTTATGGTATAATTTTGCCCTCAAAGTAATTAAAACGGTGCACCAGTATCCCATGCTAACAGATCTGTTAGTTTGACCGTTAAATTGATGAATCAGCACAAGTTTGACCAGAAAATCTGACGTGGCATGTCTAATAAGCAGGTGACGTGAAATTTTTTTGGGGTTAAGGTGCATCCAACACCCCCAAGTATTTTTCCAGGTGCACCCAGTGACTTAAAGTAATTTATGGTGCAATTTTGCCCTCAAAGTAATTAAAATGGTACACCGGTATCCTATGCTAACAGATCTCTTACTTTGACTGTGAAATTGATGAGTCAGCACAAGTTTAACCAAAATAATCTGACCTGGCATGTCTAATAAGCAGGTGATTTGAAATTTTTTTCGTCTGCCACCGCTTTGTTTTCTCTGTTTAGTAAATGCTCTCTTTGGCTCTTGGAATTTTTTTCAAAGTAAGAAATTTTTTCAGAGATACTCCTCGAGTCCTATTTATAGGGTAGCGAGAAAACATATTTTTTGGTCCTATTTATAAGGCACTGAGAGAAATTTTTTGTACGGATGTACAAATTTACACCTCATTTATTATTGTATTGACTTTGTTTATATAAGGTATAAAGTTGGAAAGTTATTAAAATTTAAATGAGAGTTAATGAAATTTAGGGTTTTCCTTGGTCTGTGTGAAACATGCTGGAAGTGCCTTATAAATAAGACCAGAGGAGTAATATTCAGACAAAACAATGGAATTAACAAGAAAAGCCATGTCACCTGCTTATTAGACATGCTAGGTCAGATTATTTTAGTCAAACTTATGCTGACTCATCAATTTCACAGTCAAAGTAACAGATCTGTTAGCATGGGATATCGGTGCACCATTTTAATTACTTTGGGGGCAAAATTGCACCATAAATTACTTTAGGCCACTGGGTGCACCTGGAAAAATACTTGGGGGTGTTGGATGCACCTTAACCCCGAAAAAATTCCACGTCACCTGCTTATTAGACATGCCACGTCAGATTTTCTGGTCAAACTTGTGCTGACTCATCAATTTAACAGTCAAACTAACAGATCTGTTAGCATGGGATACCGGTGCACCATTTTAATTACTTTGAGGGCAAAATTGCACCATAAATTACTTTAGCCACTGGGTGCACCTGGCAAAATACTTGGGGGTGCTGGTGCACCTTAACCCTAAACAAAAACTTCTTCATCTTCTTCTTCCTCCCACATCTATATATATACCATCAAACCATCACCTTCTGAAATCACAGAGATCGGAGACTTCAAAAGCATTACACGCACAATCAAACACCCCTTCACATATAGTAAGACCCAGTCATATGGCGGCGGCTTCTCTGAGAACGTTGGCAATTCTGGTGGTGCTTGCCGGAACCCTAGTTTTCAACAACGACGTCGTAGTAATGGTTTCAGCTCAGTGCGGAGGAAGCATACCGGACATGGTATCGCAGTGCGAGCAGTACGTGCAGAAGACAGGGCCGACGATACCGCCGTCGCCGGCGTGTTGCACGGAGTTGAGGAAGTTCGATGTGAACTGTATGTGCCAGTATATCACCAGCGACATCGTTAATCTCATAAGCGTCCCTAAGGCCATCTACGTTTTTCAGACTTGTGGCCTCAGTCTTCCCCACGGAACCAAATGTGGAGGTAATAATACTAATAATAACAACCTTAATAAATAAATAAAACCAGATTAATTAATTAACGAAAATCACTGGTATTATTGTTAAAGAAAAGACTAGTTTGTCAATTATCATAATTTCACTTATTTTTAATCAGCTCCTGAGAGCTTTAATTATAGGCATTAGTTCATATGTTCACTACGATCTGTTAATTATAGCTGATGTGGATATTAACTAAGCGACCTGTAAGTTGCTACACACACACACACAAAATACTACCTCCACTATTAAACATGAGAACTAATTAAAGATTCAATTTGATTATAAATATAACACCCTAATATATTCTGTCTCTCAAATTTATCCATTTTCTTTCAAAGTAATTCCCATAGAAATTATATTACACATATTAAATGATTTTCATTTTAACATACATGACTAACAAAGATATTTTAAGAAAAATAATACATATTTATTACAAATAATTAAATTAATTAATTTTTTAATATTTAAAAATTAATTATCCAGTTCTTATATTAAAAACTGGAATTAGTACAAAATAAAGAAGATGCTTTTTAGAAACAAAATAATTGAAAAAAAATCTATTTATTGTCAGGATAATAAAAATTATTATACTCATAATTATCCATATATAAAATATCATATATATGAGGGTTATTAATTTCTTGATGTGAAAGCAGCTGCTGTACATTTTATTTTTAACATCTTTTATCAGCCTCAAAATACTTTTTTTGCTTTGAAAATAAAAATTCCTCCTGTTTTATTTTAATGATAAAACCAAAGAAATAAATATGTTGTTGTATTTTCTCTGGCTGATGAGTTATCGCTGGGGAATGTTTCAGCAATCACTGTCCCATGAGGCGTTGAGGTGGAAATGCTGCCTTGTGGACTCTATGGAGAATAAAGGCCTTCCTCTTGTAACCCAATAAACCTATTTTTCACTTTAAGTTTTAAACAAAATAAATAAAGTTTAATTACACTTGTGTGTTGCCCACTAAAAAATATATATGCACACTTGTATATGAAGCTATTTTATGAAGGAAGCACCTTTGTGTGTAATTGTATTTCTGGCTCATTTTATACATACATACATATATATATAGGAATTTTCGATCCCCACCCTCGTTTTTACAGATTATGATAATTTGACTAGTGGACCTTCACCTACACTCGTACCCACCTCTGTATTGAGCTAATCTCAATCTAACTCTTATCTTTTAAACCTTAAGGGGTTGGGTTCTTAAAAAAAAACCTAGTCTGTCATGATATAGTGAACTAAGTTTCAAAGCTCAGATAAGAAAAGTGTCTATATTTAGTACTTAACAATATCTTAATAAGATACATATGCATAGCAAAAAGAAAAAAAAACTCTAATAGGGAATATTAAAGGGTTACATATGAAATAATTAAATTGAAAACAACAGTAAGTTGGCAGGGGAAAATTGAATAAAAAATCTAGAGACTCCAATCATGAAACACTTTCAATCTTTCATGGATTAATAACCAACATAAGGGGATGGGCCCACATGCATAGTGGCCCATTAGTTTTCCAGGCCCACTTTACATTATTCTGGCCCATAAATTTAATTATTTTGCTTTTATGCAAAAAAAAAGGGAAAACCAGATAAAATGGCCTTGCGGGCTTGGGTTCTTCAATGACCTATGAATATCACGACTAGGTTCAATCCAACGGACATTTAACATTTCTTTCAACAATCTTTTTTTTTTTTGAATGAAAAAGGTTACAAAACTAAACAAAACACTCAGCCCAGGTGAACAAGAGCCAAGGGTGACTACTATGACTATCCCTCACCTCCGTCCAACTCAACGCCAAGAGTGGGAGGGTGGTCAAGGATACAAAAATTCTTATCCATCCTATGAGACAACTTTGCTAAAGCATCAGCAAAGGGAATTAACTCTCTATCTACTGGACAGAAAACAACCTGCCAGTCTCTATGAATAATGATCCTAATATCATCAATCAAGTCTTTAAAGGGATAGTCCTCTTCACATCCTCTTGTAACCAGATTAATTGCCTCTATGCAATCCGATAACAAGCAGATCCTCCTGAAACCTTTCCTCCAGCAGAGATTTAGACCATGTAGCATGCCCATAACAATCTTATATATTAAAACCACTGTAAGGCCATTGTATCCAAAAATAAAAAATCGACGGTACCAATATATATATATATATATATATTAAAACCAAGATATTAAAAACTGGATTGGTCATTAAACTAGTCAAGATAGTGGACCAAATAGGAGTCAGCCTGAGATCAAACTGGTAAGAAATAAAAAAAAAATAAAAAATCATTTAAATTTTCATTAAGAACTAAATACTACTTCCAGTTTTTAATTTGAGTAAATTAAAAAACTAGTTAAGTTAATTATTTATAATAAATATGTGTTATTTTTTCTAAAATGTCTTTACTAATCAAATGTATTGGCCAAAATTATCATTATTATAAGGACTACTTTGGAAAAAAAAAAAGATAAACATGAGAGACAAAGTGAATTAGGGTCTTATATTTAAAATCAAAATAAAAGTCAAACGAGCTCTTATATTCAGAATTAGAGGTAGTATAAATTTAATATCTTAAATCATTAATAAAATAATCATATAATTATAATTTCTATCCAACTCTTTTGAAATTCCTTTGACAAATTAAACTCATAATATCATACTACTAAAATTACTAAATATTTATCCCAACAAAATATCAAAATAGATATATAATAACAAAATATTCCTTTCTACAGTCATTCAATCACTAAATCCTAAGTATCAACAGCTTTTTAAAAACATCACCAAAATTAGTTTTTCTTAAAAAGAAAAAAAGGCTAGTTTAACTGACCACACTGGTTGTGTTACCCAGGTTATTACCAGGTTATTTGATTTAGATCACATTGAGTCAATTCAACCCATTTTCAATGCTTATCCATGTCAGTTACCACGCCAGTTCGTTAGTTTTGAGACTGAACCGACAGTTTAGTCTAGGTATCAATACTATGATTAAAACCAATTCAGATTTGAATCTATCAAAATAAACTAGTTAGTCACAACGTAGTGAACCAAAAATATCCACTGGAAGAGATAATCACATTTAGTACCAAATAGTATCTCAAACAAGATTACATTTAATAATAGAAGGATACTTGTGCCTGGTAATATATATACATATGAAAAAAGAAAAGATTCGAATTACAGAGATGTCATATTTAGTGCCCAACAATTCATCTAATAAGACAATATCCAAGGTACTGAAAAATCAGACCGATTGAGACAGTGGGTCAAGGGTCAGTGGGTTAAACCGAAGTCAACCTAGGGTCAAACCGATAAGAAATAAAAAAGTTAAAAAATAATTTACCTTTTCATCATACTATTTAAGGACTAAATATTAATTCATTACCTTGAATGACAAACAAGATAATCATATACTTATAATTTCTTTCCAATGTTTTTTTACAATTCCTTTGACAAATTGACACATAGTACCATATTAAAAAATCACTATACATTAATCCTAACAAAATATTAAAATTGATATATGATAACAAAATATTCTTACTTCCAATCTATTAATCAATAAACTAATAATTATCAATAGCTTAAGAAAGAAGAAAAAGTTTTTGGCTCAAAATAGCTTTTATAAAATAATAAAATAAAAAGCAACCTGGTTAACCTACCAAACCAAGCAAGTTAATTGGGTTGCCCTGGTTTACACTAAGTCACCTCCGGTCAATTTGATCTTGGTTTACATACTCAACCAGACCAGATAGTGAGCTTTGAGCAGAACCAGTTGGTCCAGTTCGGGTTTGCATACTATGAGGATATTTGTGCTTATCAACAAGAAAAAAGAAAAGGAGTTTTCCATATTTTGCAAATATCTAAATTTTACATAAATCAAGTTTAGGATGTCGTAATTAAAATTCACTATGTCTAGCAGCACGGGTATTTGTTTAAAAAAAAAAACCAGTGGTATTCTTTGATCAAACCTAAATAAAGTGGTATATAATTAATAATCAAAGTTTAAAAGTTTGATGTAACCCAAAAAGAAATTTAAAGTTTGAAAAATGTAGATACTAAAGTAGTATTTCAATTTCAAATTTATTGGGAACGAAAAGAAACTTAATGATGTTACTATAATTATGTTATTGAGATTGACCTTTTGGTTAACAATTCATTTAAGGATATAATTCTTTAAAAAGTGCACGAGCACCATATAAATCATGCACCTGATCTCATTTAATGGGATAACGCCACTTATTGCTGCTGCTGTGTTTAGGACCGGAGGAGTACCATATCAAATTTAAAATATTGCAAAATTAAGTTGATAGAAAAGATTATAAGAAAGGAAAAACACTTTGATAATTGGATTCATTTAACATAAGAAACTTATTTCAAATCAGATCAATACATGTAAATTTTTTTATATATTAAGCCAGGGGCTTTACTATTATTAATATCTTAAAATCTACATGTTCTGATTTTGATTAGACAAAAACAAATTAAGCCAGGAGCTTTATTTTGGCGGAACAAATAAAAGTGACTCCCTTTAAATAAAATTGTCCTAAGATGTTCAACTTTTTTTCTTCTTTTATTAAAGATGAAATATTGTTCTAAATAATAATAAAACGGGACAACAAAAACAACATGAACAGTAGTAATATTTCATTATTTGTTATTACTTATTCCTCTGGTTATTCATATAAAACTCATTTTGTAATGTAAATTATATTACAAAATGGGTCTTATATTTAGACCGAAGGAAGTATTACACATCTTTTATATATTACATGTCTTTTATATAAATAAATATATATGTATATATATAATATTGGGAATGCCAACTCAAGAGATCCCAAAACTGCACACTGGATCCTGCTGTCCCATGTAGAGCCACAAACTGCACTCACAATCTCAACCATCAAAGCTAACTTACAGAATCCAAAATATTGGAAGTAAGACAGCCGAGACTAGTTCAAGTGGCAGGTTCTGAGATAAAAACAATTGAGACGTTTCCAGCAAGGTAGGTTAATAATTCATCTTTCTTTCAAAAGCTCATCTTCCAACCGTATGGCCTTTATTAGCAAGGTGTAATATCTGGAGCTTGTTCTTTTATTGAATTTGGATTCAAAAGTTAGTGGAATAAATGTCTCTTATTTTTTACTCAAATAAACATAATAAAAATCAATCGACGATAATATCGATAACAAACCTTATCTTTTTCCTATTAGGTACGGTTAGGGTCAGTTACATGAATCGCACAGCTGCTCTATAAACACTACAGAAAAATGCCAACAGCATATAAAATATATTACAAAAGGCATTACCTTTGTCTATCTTTCCTCAGGAATCAGTACAACCAATTCCGCCATGAAGGAAATGAGGAAGAAAATAATCTTTTCCCCAGTAGTTTAAATGGGGAAAAATGATTGCACTGAAAAAGTGAATAATAAGCAGCAGAAATATGTAGTCATGAGTATAGGAATTCATATTCATATATAATTAAAGCAGCAACAATAAAGAGAGAATCAGAAAGATTGCTTCTTCTTCTCTTTCACTCTCACAGTCACTTTTTCCCTCCCTTGTTTTTCCCCACTTCTCCATGTGGTGTTCACCAAATAATAAGAGCAGTCCTAAACTGGTTATGGAAAAATAGTCATTACCATATGGACAAAACTCTTTCATACAAACAATAAAAAGAGCAAAAACCAAAAGAAAACCTGATCAGTGCTTCTTCCTCTATTTTTTTTTTTTTCCTTTTTCCATTTTGGGCTCTAGATTTTTCCATTTTACTTCCTAGGTCTCCATGCTGATACTGAAAAAAGTGACCTATCCTGCCAGCAAATAACAACACAGCCATTTTCCTCCCTCATTTTGTATCCCTCACAGCCATAGCTCTGTAGTAATCTCCTTGCTTGTAACATCCCATAATAGCTTAAAGGCACATTCCCAAACCCGGCAAGATCAAGCCTCTGTAGCCACTTATCAAGCTTTTCATGCCTTTCCTTTCTTTCAGCTCCCTCACACGCAACAATGTTCTTGATTTCCTCACCGAAAAGCATCTTCTCCACCTTTAATCTCTCCATTGATGTTCTTGAGACTGTGGATTCCAAACAATCAAACAACGCTGCGTAAGAGTACAGAGCTTCTAATACCCTCTCCATTAGAGTTGAACCATTGTGATTAGAGTCTTGTTCTGTCACAACCATGACTTTGGGAGACAAACCCCACAAGGCATTGAGAAAGCTCTCCATGCTCATTGAAGCAATTGACGATGCTGGGGATGATGAGGTCGAGTCAGGACTTGGGCTGTACCTATTATTGATCATATCCTTCTCAAGCAAATCACCTAATGAGCTCTGATTCATTGGCACGGCTCTTTGTAGATGACTTCCATTTGAGCATTTTGTTAGGAGAGGAGGTCTTCTGCGCAATTCATCATCCAATGTCAAAAGCGAATGTAATTGGACAATCGAACTGATTGCTAGTGCTTCTCCAGTCTTCACACGGAGTTTGTCAAAATCAAGATTCTCTAACTTGCTCACAACAGGATTGAACTGGAATGGGATGTCCAACTTTTCTGCTTCTTCAATCAGCCTATGAGCCATCTGATCCAGAATCTCTTTCTGTTGATGAACCCCAGTAATTCTCAAGTGAGGAGGGCCTTCAGGCCGAGCACTCAAAACTTGGAGGAGTGCAATCCACTGTGCAGGTTCAGCAGCATTGAGATCAATTATATGAACCATCTTCTCTCCTTCCATTGCTTCCATGATAGCCTGATTTGTGAGCACGAACGCCACCTTCAAGAATGGGAACAGCTCAAAAAACAGCTTCCGGACCAGAATTTCTTCGGAAACCATGACTATTCTAGTAGAATTGAGGGCCTTGTGGAGACCAGGCCATGTTTTAAGTATCCGATCAGCAAGTGCTTCAGTAAAATAGGCAGCAATTCGCTGCATAGTATCACCATCCGGGGAAGCAAGATGGGAAATTTGTTCGAGAGCCATATTTGCATTTTCAAGACTACCAGAAGCTACATGATTTGTACAAGTCAGCAACAAATGGATTAAGTACAAGCCCCTTTCCTCTGATTTAAGCTCTCTAAGCCAAGGGTATGGAGATCCTAAGCTAGGTGAAAGTGACATCATAGAGAAGAACTGAAAAGGTGATGAAGTTACAGAAGATGACCCTTCATCTTGAAACATAGATCTTATTTGACAACAAGAACAGTCTTATTTGACAGAGTCAATGATAAGTTGGATTGATTACAAACTCTAGGATCTATTCAAATAACTCAAGGATAACCAGAGATAAATTTGAAGAAATGCACAGAATATACCTATGCAAAAGGAATGACAAAGAAAACACGAATCCAAAGCACGAGGTCTGGATAAGGAGGAACTCAGTAATAAAATCAATGCTGCGGATCCCACACGCAAGGCAGAGAAAGACAATTCCTAAATAAAAACAAGAAATAATAGACTTCAAGTGTGAGCGAGCACAACCCGAACAAACCAACCCAAAAAAAAAAAAGTATGGTCAGAAAAACTCAAGCTTCGTCTCACAAGCACATATGGGAATAAAAAATTTCCATCAATCCAGCAGAAATTCACAGTAAGAGACGAAAGCGAACCCTACCGGAGGAGGAGGAGCATCAGAGAACTGAGGGCGAGAATTGGTGAATCGAAGGAGAGAATCGGAAACCCGCGAGTGGGCTTTGAAATTGGGGCAAAACCCAGAAGAATCCCTATGAAAAACAGGAAGAGGAAGGTGTAGAAACTGAATCTCGGCAAAGCCGAACCGAAAGGGGGGTCGGTTTTAGCAGGCTAACAGCGAAGCTTGTTCTCGTGTGGGAGTGAAATTCAATGTTTGGACTAAAAGTTTCGGTTTCAAGGACTTCTTCATGGCTACGTTGTCGACAATGCGTGACGGGCCCCTTTGTCGTTAGTGTTTTGTTGTCCTTCCCTCCTCTCAGTGGACAATGGAATTTCTGAGAAGACGAGCCTAAGCCTATCGCTTCTTGTTCTCTCTCTCTCTCTCTCTCTCTCTGTCTGCGAAACTACTCTTATTTGATCATTTTATTAATAAAAATAAAAATAAATAAAATAAAATACACTTTAGGAATTAATTGAAGCTGCTAAGAATTTAGTGGTTTCTTTTTCCTGAAACGGATTTTCTTTTCTTTTTTTATTATTTCTTATTACAACCTTAAATTATGACCATCAATATATCAATATAATTTGTAAAATCTAATCTTTTTGCAATTACGAAAGGTCTATTGTTTAAGTTTAATTTAAATTAAATTATTTTCATATTACTTAAAATAAATATAATAATAAATCACTTTGGAAAGATGAGGTAAATTTAAGTCAAATTGCACCAAATTGATAAGAACATAAAATTGACTATTTTTTTTTAAAGTTGATCAGATCAATTCAATTTGATTCTAACCTAAAAATTAAACTTTATTGATATTAACAGCTTGTAGTTGGAAAACAATCCTATGGGCCATATTATGCTCTCTTTTTTTCCTCCTTTTATCACAGAAGAGAATCTTATTCTACGCCAAATAGGATCTAGGCAGAATTTTCAAATTTATGAAGAGGCATAAAATAAAGCAAGCATGGGTCAAATGGAAGGAAAAATGCTAGTTGAGAAATTAATTGGTAAATAATTTTGAAGGATTTAATGTAACTCAATTTTTATTTTGTGTAACTTAATTATCTTTATACGCTACTTAAAATTCTCTCGATGCTAATAAAACTAAATAAAAAATTCTTTTTTTACAAAATTACATTAAGAGAGTTGCTCTTGTTTTTTTAAACTAGAATTGTCTAATAATAATATCATCCCAAATCCTTAATATGAGAATTACTTAATTAATTTTTGACAGATCAATAAAGGTAGATAAATTAATTAATTATAACAGACATAACAGTATTTTCTTGAAATATTCGTATGCGACATTAGATTATATATTAGTTATAAGTTATTACTTGTTAGATAAATTAGTTTTGAAAAAAATATAAATATAAAAGACAAAGTAAATTAAATTTGAGTATTTATCACTAAATTTAACCTCTCACCTAACTTTTGCATCAAGTTCAGGGGTGAGTAATAAAGAAATATTTAAAAAGTTAGATAAATTACTTCACTGTAACATATGCAACATAGTTTTCATAAAATAGCCTTATATAATATTAGATTATATATATCAGTTGATAAGTTAGATAAATTATATTAAAATAATAATAAATATGAGAAAAAAAGTATATTTAAAATTTTATGTTTAAGATAAAATGTAGTTCTCAATAAATCATATATACATATTAAGAATGAGAGAAAATAATAAATAAAGAAAAAAGAGAAATGTGATAAAGTAGTGATTGAGTATGATAATGGGGGGAAGGAAGGGAGGGACGGATGCTGTCAGGAAGCAGGGTGGATAGGGAATCCAGCCAAAGAGGAAGAAAGAAGTAAACAAGAAAAATATTCGGCGAGGGAAAGAAAAAGACAAACGAGAGGTAACAAAGACAAACAAACATTGGGGTCAGGTTTGTTTGGTAGTGAGGGAAAGGGAAAGAAAAGGGAATTATAATCCAAAATAAGGATTTGTTTGTATGTGGTAAAGCAAGTGTCCATACAAATTGGTGTTATTATCTTTACTTCCCTCTCCTTCTCTTTCTCTCTCCCTATTAAGACAACCACACCACCTACTTTTGCTTCCTTCCAAGACTGGTTTGTACCTTTATCTCTTCTTCTGCTCTCCGACGTGGCACCCCCTCTCCCTTCTTCTAAACCCTAGGCTTCCACCCCTAATTATTCTTTCCAATTTTCTCTTAAATTTAGTCACACAAAAAAAAAAATGTTCAAATACTACTTCTGGTCCTAATTATAAAAGTCAGTTAACTAATTTGAAAAAATTAAAAAAGTAAATTGAGTTAGTTATTTGTCCTAAATATGTGTTGACTTTCCTAAAATATCCTTACTAATCAAGTGTATTGGCTAAAACTATAATTATTAGAATGACTATTTTAGAAAAAAAATTGAGTAAATATGATAGATAAAATAAATTAGGGTCTTATACTTAGAACCAAAATAAAAATCAAATATGATTTTATATTAACGACCGGAGGTAGTACTTTATTAATCAAAGGGTAATTATTTTTTAACTGTGTGCGATTCGTCTCCATTATGTGCAAAGGTCTTTGATCATAAATCATTTGTATTTAACTAAAGATATATTGCATCTAGTTAGAAAAGAATTGTGCCTATTAAATATGAATTGCGCCTGCTTAAATATAGGTTTTTTTAGTCAATAAATTTTCTAAACAAGTACTTTTAATTATTTTTCTATTTTTGATTATAACTAATATGATGTCATATTTGAGGACACATTTGGTTAAATCTTTTAGAAAATAAAAGATTCATTGATGAGAAACAACAGACCGCTTTTTTAATTTTAAGGGATGTCTCTTCAGCTTCAAATGATCTTTTGTAAGCTTTTTGTAGTCATGTCACAATAACAAGAGCCAAAAAAAAAAAATAGGTAAACAGTAAAAAGGCTAATGCAAAAAACTTTGATAAAGGAAACAGTAATTCGATGGATAAATATGAATAAAAATTTTAATTCAAAGACTTGGACTACACATGTAAAGATTTATTTGGACTTAAGTCACCTCATTGTGGAGTTGGGTAGTATTTAGATAGAAAACAAATCATAATTTTTAAAATAATTTTATAATACACGAAGTAAATATGTAAGATGGATTTTATTTTGATTTGCTTAAATTTTTTTTTAAAAAACACTTTCAAAAGCAACCAAACATACCTTAATATAACGACTATATCTACTCATTGTATTTCTCTAAAAATTACTAATTAGTTGGTATATATATCATATTTTTTACTTCCCAAGTGATCGAATTAAGTCTTAGTTATTTATTAGTCAATATAAAAATTAAATAAACACATTATGAAAATAATAAAAAATCGTGTTGTCTATAAATTATGAATAGTGTGATTCATCTTATAAGTACAAATGATCCATAATAGTTGCACTTGATAAGATAATTAAAATGAAAATGTTTGAAAAAAAAATACTTAGTTTAATATATATATATTTCCCCAATAATATAGATCTCAAATGGCAAATCTTATGGTTAATTATTAAAAAAAATGGCATAATGACAAGTTGAATAGGACTCCTAGGATAAATTGCCTTGTTAATTATTAAAAAATTTGCAAAGTGACAAGATAATGGTAGCTTGCCAGAGAGGTTAGCATATGTTTCTGGCTTTTCTTCAGAGTTTACCAACTTTTTTGTTTCTTTTTCCTCTCCTTTAACTTATTATACCCAATTTTAATATAGATTCCGAGATATTATTCCAATCTAAATTTCATAGACCATTTATTTAATAAAAGGTTACTCATTTTCACATATCGGACAAAATTAACGTTGTTTGTCTCGGCAATTGGCTCTTTGCGTATCCATTTGGACACCTGATCTATCATCAAAGCAAAACAACAAGAAAGGGAGTAAACTTCTTCGTGAAAATACAACTTTTACTCTGTTGCGTGTAATATATTTTTAATTATATGTAGATATTTTTTATTTTACACATAATTAAAGATATGTTATATATAGTTGGAAAAAAAAAGTTGCAGCTAGATCTTTAAACAATTTTAGATATTGATACACAATTAATTTTCTAATAAGAAAAATTTCACCAATTTTGTTTTAAAAAATTGAGCTTTCAAATTTATTGAACTAAAAAAAATTCTAAAAAATATGTTGGTTTGAACATTACATCGTAAAATAAAAAATAAAAAAGAAAGAAATTGAGACAAATATATATATTTGCACATGTAAGACAAATTAAGATCTTTTCATATACAAGAAAAGAATCTTTAAGTTAAAACAAATACAGGGATATGAGACCTGATTAAAGAAATGATTGTGATATTAGAATTAAAAAAAACTGGCCATACTGCTTGAAAAAAGTTG